ATTCAGCCAAGAAATGAGTACATGATCTGTCCATTGCATTTGTGATTAAAGACCTGACAATACCTGCTTTGACTGTTTTTGAATGGCAACTGTTTTTTGATAGCAGCGGTTTTGCGTTTTCTTTTCCATATTCCCAACATAGCCCTTTTTCATTGTGAATCATAAGCTCTAAAAACTGCAGTTTACAATTCATGGGTCGTTCGACTGTAAACCTCAGTTCCGGGGCAGCCGATCTGATCAATGCTTCCAGAGTGTCAGATAATCCCTCCCGAAAAGAACAGATCAAAATGTCATCGACATATCTTTTCACAAAACAGGATTCGGACGTCAGTTCTTGCAACTTATCAGATACAATGCAATCCAAAGAATTTAGGTAAATTTCCGCTAACGCCGGTGCTACACTCGACCCAATGCATACTCCCTCTTTCTGTAAATACTTTTTTCCTTGATACTCTACTATTGTTGACTGCAAGTAATAATCAAGAACGGCAAGAAAACTGTCCACCGATATGCCTGACCGCGATTGGAACCTTACCAAATTCATTTCAAGCACCCCTTTTACCCTTTCCAACAGACGACTCTTCTCTAATGAGTAATAAAGCTCCTTGATGTCCATTGACAACATATCTCCTTCCTTTCCATGATGACCTTCGAGTACCGTGATCAACTCACTCGAATTTCTCAGTGACAAAGACTTATCTAGAATTGCATGATTTAAACCTTTTTGAAGAAACACGGAAACTACCTTCTGCCAAGTGCCATTCTCATTGATCACCACTCTAAGTGGCATCTCCGGTTTATGATCCTTAATGAAGAACTTTACGCTCAACGCTGATTTCGACAGATTTACCGTGGTCTTTGCTACGTCCTTAAATTCGTCTTCCTCTAAAATTGAAACTATATTTTTCTTTAACTTTCCGATGTTTCCACCCATTCTTGAAACAAGGATTCCATCGCTTCACCCGTTTTCGTTTGAAATGACGATTTTGAAAGAACCGCGAATCTACCGGATTTATCCGTTTGTAGCAATTGTAATGACCGATCCTCTAACTCTTTTCTAACCGAACTGACGACACGAAAATCCCTTTTCAAAATCGTCATTTAAAAAAAAAAACGGGTGAAGCGATGGAATCCTTGTTTCAAGAATGGGGTGGAAACATCGGAAAGTTAAAGAAAAATATAGTTTCAATTTTAGAGGAAGACCAATTTAAGGACGTAGCAAAGACCATGGTAAATCTGTCGAAATCAGCGTTGAGCGTAAAGTTCTTCATTAAGGATTATAAACCGGAGATGCCACTTAGAGTGGTGATCAATGAGAATGGCACTTGGCAGAAGGTAGTTTCCGTGTTTCTTCAAAAAGGTTTAAATCATGCAATTCTAGATAAGTCTTTGTCACTGAGAAATTCGAGTGCGTTGATCACGGTACTCGAAGGTCATCATGGAAAGGAAGGAGATATGTTGTCAATGGACATCAAGGAGCTTTATTACTCATTAGAGAAGAGTCGTCTGTTGGAAAGGGTAAAAGGGGTGCTTGAAATGAATTTGGTAAGGTTCCAATCGCGGTCAGGCATATCGGTGGACAGTTTTCTTGCCGTTCTTGATTATTACTTGCAGTCAACAATAGTAGAGTATCAAGGAAAAAAGTATTTACAGAAAGAGGGAGTATGCATTGGGTCGAGTGTAGCACCGGCGTTAGCGGAAATTTACCTAAATTCTTTGGATTGCATTGTATCTGATAAGTTGCAAGAACTGACGTCCGAATCCTGTTTTGTAAAAAGATATGTCGATGACATTTTGATCTGTTCTTTTCGGGAGGGATTATCTGACACTCTGGAAGCATTGATCAGATCGGCTGCCCCGGAACTGAGGTTTACAGTCGAACGACCCATGAATGGTAAACTGCAGTTTTTAGAGCTTATGATTCACAATGAAAAAGGGCTATGTTGGGAATATGGAAAAAAAAAACGCAAAACCGCTGCTATCAAAAAACAGTTGCCATTCAAAAACAGTCAAAGCAGGTATTGTCAGGTCTTTAATCACAAATGCAATGGACAGATCATGTACTCATTTCTTGGCTGAATCAGTGAAAAGGCAGTGGAGAAGGCTACACAGTGCTGGTTATCAGGATGAATTCGTAGGGAAACAGTTATCCGTAAAATTCGCAGACAAATGTAGAGCAGAACCAAAGCAAAGGCCAAAACATAGAACTACTGTAATTCCGTACTATCAGAAAATTTCTCACAACTTGAAGGCTTGTGCAAAAAAGTTTGATGTTGATCTGGTTTTTAGTTCCGACTATAAATTGAGTAAGCTCACGCCCTTCCACAAGAGTTTAAGGGAATGCACAAAAATGCATCGAGAAAAGTCTATTCCGTGTGATAATGGAGTGGTATACGAAATTCCCCTGGAATGTGGTTTTAAGTATGTGGGTCAAACGTCGAGGTGTATAAATGATAGATTGAATGAACACAAAAGAAATGTCAAAAACAACGCGACTGATTCGGAAATAGCGAAACATGTTCAAGAATGTAATAATTGTATACCACGCTGGTCCGAAACAGAAATAATACACAGGGAAGTAAACGACATCAAAAGGGTTGTAAAGGAAACAATAAGAATGAAATCAATGGGCAACTGCATTAGTCAAGTGTCGTTACAGCTTAGCAGCAGTGCAAAAACATTCTTGCGGATTTGAGAGTTTTGTTACGTGGTTGTTGATTGTGAAAGGGTGTAAGTGGTTTCCTCCTTTGTGTCTTTGGTTTGGATCAGGTGGATTGGTATCTTTTGTTGCCGGGTTGTTTCGGGATTGTGGGCCGGGGAGGAGAGGAGGAGGGTGTGCTATGTACGCGAAGGTCGATCGTCTTCCGGGAGAGAGGAGCTAGGTTGTGTTGGTGAGGGGGCTTTGTAGGATTGTCACGGTCGTTTGATTATTGTGGTGGAAAGAGATGAGTTCTTTGTTATCTTTTGGCTTTGGAGGTCGCGAAGGTTCTGTGGTGAAGATTGTGGAGTGTATATAAGAGGGTGACCGAATAAACTTGTCTTTAGCTGTGTTAGAGACGTATCCTCGACTGTTCCTTTTTCTTCTACTTTGAAACTTCCTATTTTCCTGCCTCAGTCTCAGGCTAACATCAGAATGGTTGTAGTGCATATATCTCTAACGAAATGTATACTGGCTAAAAGAAAGGTGCGAAGAGAACTCGGCGCAAGAAAAAGAAAAAAAAACAAATTAAATATGTTTTTTTTTATACGGCGTGCTGAAATTGAACAAAAAGTGAAAACCTTCTCTGTTTCATAATTTATTTTTCAGCACTCGTACGTGATAAAGGCAGAAGATTTTGCTTAATATGAAAGGTTATACATGTGGTATTATTTTAAAAGCGATACGAAACATAGTCGACCAAAAACAAAATCCGCAATTTAGGTCACAGTTGTTTGCGGAGGCATGTTTGTGTATTTTTACAAAGATTGGAGTGTCGAATAATAAATAGTATTTATAATGTGGTTTTACCTACTTGCAGACATATCACACTAAAACATATAGATGCTCTTTTTTGAATACTTTGAGATTGAGAGTGGTTCGAAAACGGCCACACACGAAAATCGTCAAAACCCACCATCGGCATTTGCTCTTTTTTAGCATATTTAGAGGCTTAAAGCTCAAAACCAAGGCAAATACCTCTAACGAAATGTATTCTGGCTAAAAGAGAGATGTGAAGAGAACTCGACGCAAAAAAAAACAATTAAAAAAAATTTTTTTTTGTACAGCGTGGTGAAATTGAACAAAAAGTGAAAACCCTCTCTGTTTCATAATTTCTTTTTCATTACTCGTACGTGATAAAGGCACAAATTCTTGCTTAATTCGCAAGACGATGAAAGGTTCTACATGTGGTATTATTTTAAAAGCGATACTAAACATAGTCGACTCAAACAAAAATCCACAATTTAGGTTACAGTTGCTCGCAGAGGCATGTTTCCGGATTTTGAGAGAGATTGGAACTACAAATAATAAATAGTAGTTATAATGTAGTTTTACCTACTTGCATATATATCACACTAAAAAAAATATAGACGCTCTCTTTTGAATACTTTGAGATTGAAAGTGGTTCAAAAACGCCACACACGACAATCGTCAAAACCTCGTCGTTCTTTCCCGCTTCTTTGAGATATTGTTTCGCAGAAACTAAACATGTCAGGACATTAAAATAAAAAGGATTGTTCTTCTCGGTACATGCGCCACGATAAATAAAAATTTGAAGCAAATTAAAAGATACGACTGCCACTCGTTGCCTGAATCCAAATGAAACCGCCCATATATATATATATATATATATATATATATATATATACATATCACGGTGACGCGCGTGTAGCCGGGGAAGGCAGGAGCATGAATATATCACTACTCCAAAGTACATTGTTCTGTAAACATTTGAGCTGTGCTACACAAATTTTGTTTTCATTAGGTTTGCGAGCACAATGGGAATATTAGCATGAACTAAAAACGGCAGCGAGAGCAAACATAATGTTTTTGTTAAACTTGGCACATCTAGAACAGAGACCATTAAAATGATTCCAGATGCGTATGGCAAATATTTGGCAAGTCGTACCAGGTCTCTTTACTGCCATTCGTTATACAAGAATTTAAAAAAAAATCATTTGAAGACGAACAGAGGTAGGGCGATTTCTGTCAAGTTCGACGTAGAAGTGATATGCGCACTCGCAATGGTCTGCATTTGACCAGTCCACGCTGAAATAGCCATTGTGTTCCTGCACGTGAACACAAAATTCGTATAGCGAAGCTTCAAATGTTCACGGAAGAATACCCTTTGCTATAATGAGACATAACCCCTTTCACTGCCGCGCGTGCATCACCGTGCTTCCTTTTCTTTTTGCGACACAAACAAACTTTTCGTTTCGGACGTCGCACATTTTGTATGTGTAAATGCTGATCCTGCATGTATAAAATGCCTTTTGTCTAAAAAGACGTATGACAATTATACCCGTTCCATTTTTTCTTGCATGCTTTTTATCAGGTCGTCCACGTCGACATCCTTTACTTTGTTCTTTCTGATGGCAGACTTGAGGATTTTGTCCGCTTTCCCGTAGTTTCTCGTAGCTAACAACCATCGAGGAGATTCAGGCAGAAAACTGAAAACAACATGTATTGTTCTGAATGCAGTAACGAAAAGCTGTATTTTAATTATAGACGTGGTATACATTTCAGACCAGTTATATGCAGATGAATGTTACAGATAATATATATAAAAACCTTATTTTTTTAGCAAGTCAATGTGATGGGCCGTTACGAAGTAGTGAATTCCCTTAAATTGTATATCATTTTTGATCATTGTTACATTGAACGTATTCTGCAGCATAAATACAGTGTCGCATGGTTCAATATAAATCCAAAAAAGTGCTCGGCAAAATAAAAAAAGCGTTCGGCAAAAAAAAATCATGCCTTTGAACTAATACTTTTGGAGGCATGTCTTAATAAAACTTATGAACTTCGGAGTTTCAGATTAAGAAAGATCATAGCATTTATTACTGGTGGCACATCTTATAGAATGTAATCAGATCTATAAAATTAGTAAAAGCGACTTTATTTAGAATAAAAAAGAGTAGTTAAGATTTGAGTCACAAAAAAGGGTATCGGCGGACTAGCAAAGGGAAGGGCGCTTCTCTGAATACCTGTATCAATATTTAATGCGTTTTTTTTTAATATTATATTGAAATGAAGATTTCATTTAGATATTTACTTACAACAAGACAGAAATGTGGATGATGTAAAAGAGAGAGATGACGAGCTGAAGGTGCATCCAGTTCCTGATGTACCACGCAAAAGCAGTTAGTGTCACCAGGCCCGTAGTCCATCCATAAGTGTAGATCAGGGCGGCTACCGCTCTATGCCGTGTGGCGATGACTTCAATTACTATATAACCAAAATGATAAAATATTATGATAAGAACATTTTGCAGCATTCTGTATACTTATTCTTTTTTACTTTGTCACTAAATCATCCTAATGAGCTGGTTAGGTGACGTGACGTTAGGTGACGTAGTTACGTGACGTGTACGTATTGCAAAAGCATTTCTTGCTGTACACTACAATGGTCATTTACGTATTATTGATGTCTACGTGCACCATGAAACAGTATTTTCTGAGCAGAAAGCATATTAAAAGAGAGTTTTTTTTTTGTACATTTAACATATTAGTATTATTTATAGAAAACACATCTGTGAGAAAGACTAAATTATGTGTGTTGACTACACAGTTTAATAAATTTAGACATTAAACGAGAAACCGCGCAATATGTCTTGCTGACCTAATTGTTTATAGAAAGTATTTATACGCACGCACGAAAATAACACCGAAAATAAAAGCAGGACATAACATATGTCTTGGGTTGTATCTGTTGCCTCTGTGTTTTTGGGATCGAATAGTTTTAGTGTAGACTGATCAACTAACAATACGGTAAATTACTAGTTGAATAAAAAATAACAGGTCGGGAGAGTAATTACTCATGCTTCGCTTCTTAAGCTTTGTTTATTTCTTTCTATGTTTACTTGTGATTCTGTGTTTACTTGTCAACCCCGGCAGACGCCTCTTCAATTCGTCCTTAAAGGGATGCTGAACCGAAATCTGGATTCCCCAAATCACGCTGCAAAATAGTGCATCAGGATGCTACAAGCACCAAAACATCACTAATAAAGCGATATCTCGAACGGATGAGTGTATATTTAAAAAAAAGAGGCGCATTTGGCTGAAATGTTGACGTCATGTTTCTCCGAGAGGAGAGGGGACGGCCTCGCGTCTTTTACGCCATGCCGCCTTGAGTGAGCGAAGCGAAGACAGGAGGAAACAAGGTATCTTGACGTCACGGGACTCGTCAGACTGGTTCAATCTCGACCTCTTTTTTCAAAAATACGGCCGTCCATTTGAGATATCCCCTTACGAGTAGTGTTGTAGGGATTGTAGCGTCCCGCCTACATCTCCTGCATCGTTTTTATTTTTTTTTTAAACCAAATTTTGGTTTACCATTCCTTTAACCAATAAGTCATTACGTTGACTGTAGTCCTTTGATCTTGCTCTTCGGCGTAGACATTAAAGATTGGCCTCAAAAACAAGGATTTACGCGAATGGTTAACACGTGGACGTTACGCATGAAATAGTCGAAAATTCTATAAAATGCAGTGTTCTATGTATTGTTTTCCGGCATACAGTATAGGATGGCACAGACGGTTCTTGTGCTGTAAATCTAGCCGGAAAAAACAACGCCTGCAGATATAAAGCTCACTATTTCACAAAATCTGACCTGAGCAGGTCACTATTAACAGTGTAAAATTTCAAGAAAATGAAATGAGAGCCACAAATCTGTCACAGCCAACGTTGGACCCGTTTAAAAACCAGCCAGTTAGCGACAATGTTAACTTGTGGCGTCATCTCTCGAGAGCCGAGACGAGTAGACGACGCACTCTGTTGCCTGCTCGCGGCTCCTGTCGGGAGATGGCGCTACAAGTCAAAAGAATCGCTATCTCGGTAGGCGGCAAACGCGCCTAACGTTGACTGTGCCAAGTTTGTTGCTTTCATTTTTTACAGGAAGAGAACTACGCCTTTATATTTCATGCGGTGAATCGGCACACTGTATTTTTGTTTTTAAGTTCCAGCTTTCCACGTACAGGACCCGATTATTGCGGTTTGTTTTACGTGCCATTCTATAATTGGGTTTCAAAGGTTGTAAATATGTGTTACAGGTTAATATATGATTGATTGATTATTGGGTTTTTTTGGCGCAAGAGAAACTTAGGCCATATTGCGCCAAACAGGGTTTTGGGTTAATATATGAAAACAATTCGTAACATATATTGTAATAAGGAAATTCCTCTTCACTAGTTTGATGGTTTTGATATCAACAAGAATCACAGCGTTTAATCCCTTTTTGGGTTCAGTGTTCATCCGTTATACTCAGTGTAAACGTGCTGTTCTGCAGGCCTCCTATTCCAATGGACGCGGCAAAACGTCCCAGGTTGTAGACTAGGTAGCTCGGCGAAAAGGCAGTTAAAACGCCGCATGCGAGTGGCAGAGGTAAAGCAAAAAGCAACGCCCTTTTGCGACCGTACCTGGAAAAGACGTGAAAAAAAAGGAACTATTGAAGGGTAAAAAACACCTTTATCACAATAAAAGGTAAGCGACTACAAAATTATTATGGTCAATCAGACAACTTAATCAATTTTTGGCATGTTTGCAGCTAGCTGAATCTTGTTTGAAAACTAAAGTTTAACAAAAGGTATGGTTTCAACATCGTCAACATAGTGCATTCGCGGAGAGTGACTATTTATAATATATCTCTAGTAATCATGTATGTTATCCTGCAAAAAACGTTTTTGAACTTCTTTTGAACAAAACAGGTAACACCCATACTGTACATATTAAATTTACGTGTCATTCACTATATATGAATAAGCTAGCAGTAGTCATTGGCCACTAAATTACATTGAGTAATCTGATTGTACCCTTCGCTATTAATTATCTGAACATAGGCAGGATGTTTCTTCAGCATCACAATAATAGTTTCCCATTAGGCTTTAGCAGTCCATCTTTAGACTTGCGTTATGTTATTATCAATATTAATAATAATAAGAGTAATTTAAGTGTATTTTGGGTTGTTCCTGTTTAAATTATGCATTCTCTTCGTCTGACAGCGCAATTTCGTCCTTGTGTGTGAGAAAAGGCAGTCCATGAAATAAGAATGCGGAACCTAAAAAACCTAAACATACAGTGGATTCTTTATATAATCTAAAACTCTATGAAACTATGCGGTTTGTCATGATGCACTCTCATGACATTGTTATTTTACCATAATCTCGCAGAATACTAAATGCTGCAAAACCAATTCAACTGCGCATATAAAAAAGGCAGCCAGAGAAACTTTTAAATCCCAACAAACACAGCACTATATTTAAACTACATGCAGTTATCTCCGAAAGTTTATCTTCAGTAAAATGAAAAATTTAACAATTCAACTTAATACAAATTCATTACAGTGTTTAACACAACAATAACTAAAATAAACTAAAATACAATTTATCATTCATAAAGAAATTTAACTAAATACGCAAAAACACAACATTTAAATGCATAAATAACTACATGAATATAATTTTTGTTTTTGCTTTTCGCTGTTTTGAGCACTTACGGTACTGTAAATTTTCCGGAAATTTACTAGAAGAGACATGGGTCGCAATGTCTGTACCATCATTAAACAGTTAATGTGTATTCTTGGAACATTAATGTTTTCTTTTCTTCTAAGTTGCCACTTTCTGCTTGTTTTATATCTGATATCTGTGGGGAAGTAATATCTAGTCAGTACCACAATCTGCCGCAGAGCATTTATTGCCAACATTTCAAGCTAAGTAAGTTGTTCCTCGAATGCAGTATTTTAGTACTAGCTGTGCCGAGCATAATATTCTTCAGCATCCGTCATATCGTATTTTTTATCTTAAAATAAAAATAATTGTGTCGTGTGTAGGCTTATAGAGACGGAAGTTAGTCGGCCTCAATAAGCTTCTGGTGTCTCAGTTGTAGATAAGAAATTTGGGCAGTACAGCGAGCCTGGTGTCTTTAACGTCAAGAACCCTGTAATAGAGATTTTTATTTTTGCGTATAGGAGCAAAGGCAAGCTCTGTGTGTTTGCGTTAGCGTTCTATGCTCCATCATGCGCAGGAGTTTCGACGCCATGCGCCAATCCAAGACAGCAGTTTGGCCTCCGCGCACGGGCAGTGTGGAACACTCGACGCTAACGCAAAGCACAGTGCTTGGATTCGCTCGTGTACGCACTGCGAACACGAGCGAATGCAACCAGATTCGACCGGTTCGACTTTCTGGACAGTGTGGCCAGACCTTGATACCAGGATGTCTCAGTTTGGTAAAAAGAAAATTATGCAAATGGCTATTTTAATTTTTTTAACAGTTGCAATTAAAGTAAAATTTTCTAATAACTGAAGAACTTAATAAGTTAATTTTTGTACTGTAATAATGGAAATAACCAATCAGTGCTGCCCTTAATTCATCCCTTAGCCATCACCATCCGATCTGAAGCCAACTGGCCAGCCGGTCGCGCAGGCGCATAGCAGTCGAACCTGAGTCAAACCTTTGTCTAGCTTTTCACAAGAAGTTCGAAAAAGTCGAACCTGGTCAAACTCGAACCTCGATCGATTCGCGACATCCCTAGATACGACTTTGCTTCTTCCTGGTTTCATACAAGCACAATAATGAGCAGCGACTGAGATAGCGGCAACCGCATCCCTCCAACCACTTCTAAAAATAAAAAGTATATAAAAAATTATAAAGTGCAATTGAAGGGCACGTGATCTGCACTTGGCCGCTAGAAATTGTGATTCGAATTTCAAAACATGCAGCAATAAAAAAAAGAGGACTTTCTCGAACTTAGATTTAAATTTTTTTTTTTTTGGGGGGGGGGGGGGGGGGGGGGGGGCGTCTACACTGTTCGGCATTGACTTTGATACTTTCTGTGTTGTGTTGTCCTTCGTATTTTCTCCAGTCTCCGGATTATGTCTTAAATTATGTTTCACCTTTAACAGCTCGTTTGCGCCCTAACTTTTTGCTCAATGTTAAAAAGAGTTTGTTTCGATATTGCTCCTTTGAAGGCCCTGTCACACTGAGGCAACAGTTGGACAACTCTATCCGGCAACACGGGGACGTCGTGTTGCCAACGACCCTGTCACGTCGCGGTAACAACAGTCGGGCAACATGTTGCTGCCGCCCGGCAACCATGTTGCCTGATTTGTTGTCCGACAGCCCGGTCACACCGCGCTGACGGCGAGAACAACACGGGGAACACTCCGCCATCTTGAATGTTTACCTTCGTTCGCGTGAGGCGCGGAATCGCTGGAAATGTGACTACAGAGTGCTAGTGCGTTCGAGGAGCCGGGAATTACCGCGGTACGACATCAAACAGTGACTGTGATTAGAAAACTTGACACAGGGAGTAGTTTCCGCTCTTTATTTTAGAGAAATGCTCTTCATTCGCTGAAAAAGCAGGTCAGCAGATAGCCCAAACCTAGAAAAGTGACATCGCTGATATATGTTCGAGATGTATGCTACCGTATGAAGTGTTTCTGTCGTGTTCTTTTATGCAATTCTTATTTCTAGCGTGAAATTGCGTCAGCACCGGCAGTACCCCAAAGCGACGTTTGTAACGTGGTCTGGAGCTGAACCGACAGTGCTTCAAACTGCGACACCGACACCATCGGCCTTCATAACAATCGGTGAAATAAATATTTTTCAACGCTGTCTTCTTGCCGACCGCCTGCTATGTGATCGCTTCATTCCCCCAAAACGTCCTGGGTATTTATCAAACAAATCAGATGTCTGGTAGCGGCTGTTTCCAAGTTCCAAGCATCAACAATCACGATCAGAGTGGTCGTTTTATGCTTCGATTTTTAATCTTTGGTTTGCTGGATTATTTTTATTGTACTTTATTAGCGCGTGAGTAGGCAGGGCATTTTATTTCACTATCAGGAATGTGACCTGCAGTGGTCTCTCGGGATTTCTAATTTCAAAACCAGTCTGAACGTTCACGACCGTAGCTGTGACCATTTCCAAAATTGCTTTCTGTAACTACGCAGCAAAAACATTAATCGAAAATATTTTAGCTGCACGCCAGCCTAATTATTGCTAAATAACTTTTCCGAGCCTTTGTTTGAGTAAGACTTTATTGATAGGAACTAGCTCTCCTTGTTGCCGTGTAGCCGGCCCGAAATCCGCTCAGCCAGCAATCAGGGCAACACATGCTGTTCAACAGAAGTTGCTGCTGTTTTTGTTGCCGAAGGCTGTCACACCGAGGCAACAGTTTATTTGTCGTCCATGCTGTCGTGCTGTTACCGCGATGTGACAGGTTTGTCGGACAACACGGGAAACGAGCAACAAGTTGCCCGACTGTTGGACAACGTGTTGTGTTGCTGTTGCCGTCGCGTTGCCTCAGTGTTACAGGGCCTTAACAGTGTCACGGGAAGGATGGAGATGCCACAAATAGTTTGTCTTTATTAGTGCAACATTTATTATGTTATATTATCTATTAAGAGCGGTCGGTAATACGAAAATAAATTTTTTCCTAGTATCTACTTATTGATTGGGTAACCTACTGACATTCTACTCACTTCATTTTTCCCATCTGGCAACACTATCGCGCAGTAATAAAACCAGCTAGTGGTACACGACCGCACGCCGGTAGGATGCTCATCCAGATCGGAAGGGGAAAGGGAGGGGATTGAAACCGGTATCCCTGGATTCTGCAGTGCGAGCTTTCGCTGCATGGGTTCCTAGCTGCGGTGCAATAACACACTCCGCCACCGATCTCACCTAGATTCTTTTTTTTTATATAGAGGATGTTTAGCAGTAAACAAAGACAAACATGGCTGAAATTCCGGGGGGATTTTGCTGCTTCAAGTTGGTTATTGTTTTGATTGTTTTTGAAAACTAGCAGTAAGTAGCGCCTACTTGAAAAGTTTCAACGCCGAGGACCAACAGTGGTATCGGCTTAAAATAACTTATACGGGATCGACACATCTTTCTTATCTATGGGATGGGATGGGAGAGCGCTTGTTCCTAAATTCAAAAGACAAATCAGTCGATATACCGTAGGTGCTTGTTGACTGCTGCGTATTCTGTAGCTGCATTGTTCATACACTTGAGATGAACTTAAAGCAAAAAAGTCCTTAAATACGTTCAACAACCTCGTGAACGGCAAGGCATCGGCGATTGGGACCCACCTCCCCCCGTCGCCGAGGATAAGCGCCGATCTTCCCTGCGGGGGTGGCCAGCCGGGTCTTGGATTCAGCAGACACTCATTAGAAAGTTTTATTACGCTTCCTAAAGCGCGACGATTGTCTCTGTAATGTCTAATTTTGTAGCACTCTGACTCGCGTGCTTTGGTATGAAAGCTATATTTCTAAAGCTGCGTGTCACATTGCATTGATACGTTCCACAATGACCCGGTTGGCACCTATAGTTGCACTAGTACTGAGATGGCCGGTTCAGGCACTGCCACTGTCGGCAGCACATAAAAGTAGGTTGGCACGGTCTGCCAATCCCGCCGTCTTTCGAACAACCAGGCTTTACAGCATCAGTGGCGTACCTCTTCCCGAGATAATTTAAAGATCTTCACTTGTGAGATTTTTTTCATGCTAGTAGGCGTCAGTCATGGAAGAGCCCTACGCAGCAGGATTTATATTGCATAGATTGCAGGCAAGGTCTCGCTAGTGAAACAATAGTCGTCGCGCACCCACACTAGTTGAACATGGGATAACCGGCAGCATTTACTGCCCTCCTTCAAGGCGGCTAGAAGTCCGCGAACTCCCTGTATTAGAACATGACGAAAAATACAAGAAATGTTCCTAAGTATTGGAACTTTAAATAAATTAGGTTTTGTGCAATTGAGTATAAATATCCGTCATGACAAAAAGTGTTATTGCAGGCGTGGAATGTTTATAGAATAAAATTAAGAAAATTGATCCATAAATAAACAAACTCCCTTTATTAAAACCGACATTTAAATTTTATTACAATTTAGTTTTCTAGTTTCTTTTTCTGGGGATATCTTCATTGTGTTTGGTGTATGAATATTTAAAAAAATCTATTAAACATTTTGCATAAAATGATTTAAAATATCATACAGACTTAGTGTGAGCCACGTAAATTGGCCATACATATATGCATTTATAGATTCATTTGGAGTAAAATTGTGTAAAATTGTTGGGACAGTAAAATTCTTAGGACTCACCAATCCGAGAGATGTGCAAATATTATATTTCCAACCATGAGTCCCGCCATAAAAATACTCTGCGATGCAGCTCGCAGCCATACGCGTTCACACACCAAGTCAAACTGAAAATAGAAAAATGTAATTAAACAATACTAGCTAGTAGCACATTTCTTTATGATTATATAACTTCCGCACGACGACGATTGGAAGCTAGAATATAAAATAAATAATATATCTAAACGCACGTTCAACGCGGGCTAGTCAAACCTTGCGTCAAACACAAAAGCCATACACATTAGATTTAATAGCCATATATTGCACTGCTTTATGATATAATATATCGTTTTATGATACACTTTTTATAATCAAAGTCACATTTAATACAAATGTCATAGCGGTAAATTGATTACCAGCTAACCTTCATAAAAACAAAGTAAACATTTTACTTCACCAGTAGAGGGAGGGTTATTATGCGGTAAGAGGCAATCTAAATCAAAAGTGACATTCTCAAAATAATCAGGTCATGACTCATTACTATGTTCTTTTTTGGACATTGTCCCAACTATGTTTTCTTAAAATCCTCAAGCATGGTACTTGTCGGGAACGCTGCTAAGTGCTGATGGAGGTTTTGGATGGTCATAGCTTAATCGATAACAAAGCGAAACGAAAGTATACTCCACCTGGTGTTGAATTAGATTTGGATTATATTGATGAATGGGACAATGCATGAAAAGTAAATAGCGACGAGGTAGGCTCGCTGCTTTTAATAAAGGCGAGTGCCATGCAAAAGTCTAAACTTTTCTTACTGCTAAAAAACCGTACATAACGTTATGACGCCTCATGAAATTCGATTGCTATTTGACAAACCCCTTTCCCTCCGAACTATAACATCTAAATTACAAAGCAGTAATTGCAATCTTATTTTTGCCTCCTCCCCTAGAGTTTCTATCTCTGGGGGAGAGGGTCAAGAGAGTGCTGAATAGAGTTGAATGAAATCGCATATCCTGCTACTTGTTCTTCGAGGACCTTGATAGCAATACAATAAAGAAATTTACAACATCGTGTACGAACGACGAAGTAGTGACTATTGCAGATAATTAAATACGAGTTTTATTAAATTACACGGAATTATATGCAACAGCCTTATTACTGGCCATTCTGTTTATTAACAGGCAATCACTTCTGGAAACACTATCTGTTAAAATGACCCGAACAGCATTTTTACTCACCTCGTTGGTGAGTGTATTGATGTTGTCTCCCATCTCATAGTGCCAACTCGAGCAAGGCAGCCTTGTATCGTTCAGTATTCGATAGGAACCGTCCTCCGCTTCTTCCAGGCCGAACATTTCGCACCGGCTTAGCTCCTGACTTCCGGTTCCTGTTTGAAGTAGCGTAGTGTGGGCCCAAAGGCCCCGTGAGATATTCACACCGGTAAGGACCTGAAGAAATTAGTGAAGAAATACTTCGCTGATTTCTTCTTCAGAGAAATACCTGAAGAAATCTCCACCGGAAGCTGAATTGTGGCAATACCATGTTATCGATGTTCGATCTATCAAAGAACGTACTGTCACAATAAATAGAACATGAAATATCCAATTCGGCCTTATTCTGCGTTGACGGTCCCCCAAGCTCAATCTTTTTTTTTTTTTAATTTTGCTAAAATTTCGAATATGGCATCTCAACTTCGTATTCCATTCTTAATTCGCATCTCAGCAGGTCTCTAAGAGAAGGGGCAGGTTTGACAAAGAAGCGTCAAGGTCTCTTTCTGCTCCTATTGAACTCGATAGTACTTCGGCCAACGCTAATGGCGTTACCGTAGTCCTTCCATGGCAATCTGGACTACAGACTAAACACCCATAATAAAAAGGGTGTAAGTTAGGCAAAACAATCTTTCTACACCCTTTTTACGCGATTTCTGAATATCGGTCGGCGTAAATAGGGTGTGCTCACGTTTTACACCCGTTACACGCTTTTTTTACGCCCTACGTGTAGCGATGGTGTCTAAAATCGTGTAAAAAGGGTGTATGAGCGACTTTTATGCCCTTCATTCACACGGTGTAAAAGGGGTGTAATGGTATTGCTGTCAAAAACACCCATGATTTGATAGCCGTTCATGTCTACTGCTTTGGTAAAACTGTTGCTGATGTACGGCTGTACAAACATCGAGTATAATTAATCACCACACGAAGTCACGTTTGATTAGGAAGTGCTAGAGAATAGTTTTTGCAACTCCAAATGAACTCTCCGTCCGACACGAGCCGAAAGTTACGTGCCGCGCGTGCATCAGTTTTATCCAGACATGTACAACTTACTCAAAAAAGTAATTAAGTTATTGAGCATTGACCTCAAAAGCAATTCGAGTAGAGTAGAAATTACTCAAATGGAAAGTAAGTGAGAAAATTACTAATTACCGTAAAACAGTAGCGAAATACTTATGAAGTTACTTTGAAGTTATATTTATGTTTTTTATGGTAGAAAGAGAGTACAGAGCTTTTGATTTGTCAACGAAATTGTGCGAGCCAAATATGGATCGGGTTGTTTTTTGAAAGAAATGCTGTAATAGCTGGTTTTGTTTCTGCGTGTTTTATTCAGACATGTATGACTTACTCAAAAAAGTAATTAAGTTATTGAGTATTGACCTCAAAAGTAATTCGAGTAGAGAAGAAATTACTCAAATGGAAAGTAAGTGAGAAAATTACTAACTACCGTAAAAAAGTAGCGAATTACTTTTGAAGTTACTTTGAAGTTACATTTATATGTTTTTTTATGGTAGAAAGAAAGTACATAGCTTTTGATTTGTCAGCGAAATTGTGCTAGCCAAATATGGATCGGGTTGTTTTTTGACAGAAATGCTTTAATAGCTGGTTCTGCTCCTGCGTGTCTAATTGTTTCGTACTTTCTTGCTTGTTTGGTCAATGATGTACTGTGACTGTGTCATTTCTACTTTGAGGTTTAGCACTGTCTAAGCTTGATTTTTAGACAGTTCTTGCTTGTTTAAAGTGTTGCGTAAAGTACATCTAAAAAGTACTTGAAGTGAAGTACAAAGTAAATGAGAGGTTACGTACCTCAAGTAAAGTAGCAAGTACACCGGGTGCAATGTACTTGAAGTAACGTATATAAATACAATATATTTCAAAGTAAAGTACAAGCAATTTTAATACAATCGTTCATGATGCCCTTTCATTCCCTATACTGTGTTTTTTTAACTAGTAGGCATTGCTCCAGGGGTAATCGGAGGTGCCTCATTTTTTTACGGAAATGGCAGCAAATATTGTATAAGGTCAAGTCGCCGCAGAGTAGTTATTTTACTCTTGCTGACGAGCTATTTGACACAATCAACTTAAACGGCACTTATTTCCATCGGCCTTACAGGCACCATTACTTCACTCGGAGAAAGGACCAGATGACGTCTCCAAAGAGCGCGTTTTTACACGACGACACCGCCACTTTTTTGTTTTCAAATTCAGTGAATGTACATTGAAGTCGGGAGCTTTGCTTTCCTCGAAAAATACAAGTACTACATGTTCAGAGAATTCACTTCAAGTAAAGTAAAATTTTTCTAAACAGTAGTACTTCAACTACCATGTACATAGAGTACTTTCCAACACTGCTTGTATATTATTTTTATATAAAAACGTTAGAGAAATTACTACAGGTATCTCGAACAACCTTTACATCTTTGAAGATATGCATGTTTTGGAAGGAAAGGCAACGCAAAAAGGTCCCCTATGCGTTGCCCTTTAGCACGCGATTGTTCGAGTACAGCTCAAACTACGGGAGCACCAGATGAGCTTCAGAGCAGGTGCTGCATTTTGTTGCCTCCTTTGAGTGAGCACGCAGTGTGTGCACCTCCTGTAGTGGGCGAGAGTTTCTTCGTTGCGGAGAAGCGGGAACCAGCCCTTTCTTCGAATGGGTCAAATGTCTTTGAGCTTCGAGACACAAAGAAACCTCAGTCTTTGGCGCTAATCCCGCAGTTACTTGGCCTCTCTTGCGTCGTGCCTGTTCGCTCCCCGCGCTTCTTAGCAGTGTTGTTGCAGAGGGGGGGCTCGGGAAAATTTTGGGGATGTCGGACACTCCAACCCATTTTCTTCGCCCCCCTCCCCCTTTCCTACGCCACATGCCTCCCCCTCTTTGCAAATATCAGCTGACCCTCCAAGTTCCAACATCTTATCTCTTTTGTGCAGGAATGTTTGTTGATAGGCAAAACAACCACTGAAATTTGAAGTGATTTCTAATTTCAGTGGAAGTTACTCAGAAAAAGTTATTAAAGTAAACTACCAATTACTGAAATAAAAATGTAATTGAAAGTTACTAAACTACTGAGAAAACTAGTTAAACTACACTAACTTGAGTAGAGTAGTTGAACTACGTACAAATCTGGTTTTATCACTTCAACTTTGATTTAAAAAACATCATCTCCGCTCGAAAAAATTAACGAAGACGTGTAAATATACAACCCAGGCAGAACACAGTACTGCGCCGTTAAGGAATTGAATCGGAAAGATTGCGCCGATACCAATTTGGTCTAGCCAATATCTGTGAAAAATGGGATGGGTCGCGCCGACGCCATTCTGACATACCGTACGGGGCGCCGTTTTTAAGTGTCAATAGTGTTCTGCGTGAATCGGCTATGCCGCCGGGGTATTTCTATTTCTTGACTGCCTGAAATCCGACGTTCAAAAACAAAACAAAACAAGATTATGCAAGACGGAATCTCCTTACTTTTAACCTGAGAAAGACCTCCTGCGCTGAAGACTTGAACAAACTGTGGCGCCCTCATTTGGGGTATTACAAACTCCCCTAAATGGGTTTCGCACTACTTATAGCACATTCATTGAGATTTTATTTTTGTGTGTAGTTCTGAAGAAACAGTGTTGCAAGACAATCGAAAGTGCCGGATTTATGACGCCCCCGCTACGTTACGCGAGTCTTATCTCTGCATGGTGACATCAAAATATCTAGCGTCCCGACACTTTTTTTTCTTTAGGTTTTTCTTTGGGTAACATGTGAAACCGAGTTTCTTATTGTTTCATGTTCTCAGCGTCTTAGCTTTGACCGGTGCTTCGACGGCGTTCAAATTTGTTTTTTTGTATTTATTTTGTGATCTCGCGGTCCGCACCAGAGCATGCGCTTCTACATAAGTGGCAGTTAGATGCGCGCCCACGGTTGTACTACGCAAAGCAAGTCCTTACGAGTCCCATTTGGCGACCTTCCCCGGGCAGCGCAGGTGACTATAGACCATTCCATTTAGCGCTCTCTGGGCGGCACCATTTCGTTCGACAGCAGCGCCCCCTTCATACGTCCGGGAAATTCAGCGGGTTCGGGAGGGCGAAACGAGAGAGAGGGCACGCGCCCGACTCCACTAGCAGACGACAAACCGGGAGGTTGCCATTCTCCATTTTTGGGCTGTACCGGCGGGCTTTACGGAACATCGAACTCTCGCTCGTGGCTGCCGTTGTGAAGTGGTTCGCGTTCTTAGAATAGTTATGGCTACTCTAAAATCAGCCTATAGCTCTCTGTTGTTCTATTTCGGTAAATGATCAACTAGCATATCTTTTTTCCGTTATTAAATAGCAGTTGAGTCAGCCGGCAGTACTAGCCTCAACTGCTGCGTGTATTGCGGCAGGAGAGCACGTTTTTATTTATTATTTCAGACTTGCACTCGTGGTCGCTAAAGGCCTACACCAGCACGAACTTTGTATAGTAAAAAAGGTACAGCAACCGGATTTACTTTTCGCCGAAGAGACCAGCCAATCTGACACAGTTTTCCCTATTTTTTATTTTTTATTTGCACGTAGGTAACAGCGCCATTGGACCCTGTGAGTCTTTTTATCTAGCATAGTATTACACGACAACTGGCATACCAAAATCTGCGCATCTGCGCTTGAAATTTCCAGAATGACGCGATTTTAAACAGAGTTTGTACGCTAGCCGGATGCTAGGTACAGCCCACTCGGCGGAGTGGAGGACATGCGGGTGAGAAGGGAGGGCATTTTTTTCTCTATATTACCCTCTCTGCTATGACCCTAATGGAACGGTCTATACAGAGCAGCGTAGGGAGATTAGCTGCTTTGTGCAACCCCCTTTGACCTCGTCTTCTGATAACCCTCCGCACCTTCTTTTGTGTCTTCGTGTGGCTGTGAGCGAGTGCGGAGGTGGCTTCTAGCGAATCAGAGGAATGGCGTGAAACACCTGACCACTCACCGTAGTACAAAAATGCTTGGATGAAACTTTTTCGCGTGACTCGCTCTAACACGCTGATGGGCTACTGCCTACTGGGGCCGTAGTCTTTAACTTATGCCAAGTTGTGGTAAGTTGTAGGGTCCACGTAAATTTGGTTTCCAAAAGTCGCCCGTCAGTGTTTTCCTGTTTTTCGCTCGTTTCAGTCGCAGCCGTGATTTCTCGTTGTGAACGACCGGAATGCATCCATGCCAACTTTTTGATAATGGTCGTTTATTTCGTCGGAGTCCATGGAATTATTGTGCTGTGTTTGTTGGACGCGTAGCTGCTCATCGGCGGCCGCGAGACTTCCTTTAAATGTGATCGACCGCCTTCAACCTCAACATTTTGTTTGTGTTGTTTTGTTCTGCCCGAATCGGATTACGCATCCATCACGACAGAGAGCTGCTCATCGGCGACTGCGATACTTCCGTTTAATGTGAACGACCGCCTTCATACTCGAAATTGTGTTTGTGGATGGTTCTGTACTGCCCGAATCGGATTATGCATCTATCATGGACTACATGAGTTCGCTGTTTTATTCTTAAGTACTCTGCAAGCATGCTTCTGATAGTACTCCTGCGTCCGTCTCAATAGACCATTTTACTGTTTACAAGCATGAACTGCCGCTTACTTCCCAAGAAACTCCCGGTCCTTCCGTCTTTGCAAGCATGTCAGTTTTGCTTACGTCACCAGTGATAGAAAGCATAAATGCCGCAAGAAAAGTAAAGTTGGAGATCTAACTAAGGCCTTCGGTTGTACAGTATAAAGAGGTTATGAAACAATATCCGGTTGGAATGTTCTTGACCTTACACACGCGGACCGTCACTGCTTCAGAAGTGTCTTGGTCGTGGTGAAATTGCGAGGACAAAAGGAAACTATTTCTTTCAGTCTTGCCTTCTCCAAGTTTAATGACGTGCGCGCGAACGTAGCTTTGCCCTTTGGCAAGCTTGTAACTGCACGTACTTGCCTGCATAAGCAGAGACGGGGCTGCGGCCAGATGACCTGCTTGCAATTGTCTATAGAGAAATTAGTTCAACCTGGTAGAACCTTGATTGAAAAATAAAAAGTGAACTAAGCATGTTTAGACTCGTTCGCAGTCATTTCTTCATGCACTCTTTTGCTTTCCCTTCTGGTGGTGCTACACCCAATTTAGAGGGCGTATTGCGCAGTCATAATACTCTAATAAAAAGGTGTACAGTGGAATCACACCCTAATCTAAGGGTGCTCGGAATTGCGCCGTGCTTTAGGGGTGTTAGGAATAATGCCCTTTTCTTACGGCGTTTTGCTACACCAACAAGGGTTTTAGTTATCGGAGAAGCCATTTACACCCTCAAGGGCGTAGTAACGTTCAGTGTGTATGACGTGCCAAAAGGGCCAGTTTTAAAATCTACGATGAATAAAAAAAGCAGGCATCGATGGAATCCAACTGGCAACAGTATAATGCCCTACAATGATGGACTGCAGATAAATGGCATTCAATAAAGCGAGACTGGTTTGTTGCTACAGGATCCGTGACGCATTGCCTGAGCTGAGGCAGTGGAGGTCTTCGAAATTCTGAAGCAAAACAAAAAATTGAAACGCTGTACTTTATTGTCACTGACAGTTTGAGAAATTCAAGGCGTTGCTTATTATCAAAACGTTTCTTACATTGTGATTCGGGCTTCAGTATTCTTTTCAATTAACACCGCAACCTTATTAACAGCAGAACGATAACAAGGTGCTCGGGCATCCCCACGCCTTGCGCTTCATTAGCTGCCAGGGACTACACAATAAGTTCTCTCACTTTTTGTCTCGCATCACTAACCCTCACACCACTCACTATTAAAGGTACGCCTAGTTAACTTCTTTGAATCGAGTATTTAGTAGCTCCTTAACCGAATTTAGATCTTCACGCAAAGTTGCTCGACTACTCGCTAATACGTTAAGCGGCGTTCTCTTGTAAAGTCAGTTACCTTTTCCCGTGTGTGGAATTCCATGCTGCATCCACTCTTCGTCGGTCCAGTTCTTCAGTTGTGGTGGTTTGGCGCACCAGTGTTCTAAGGTCGGAGCAATAAACGTTGGAGCCATGATATGATACGCTGTTGGTAAGCCACGCAGAAAGCAGAAGATGATGACTGGGTAGTGCCATGGACCTAAGTGGGTGAAGATATCGTCCATGCCTGCCATCTGCAAAAGAAACGTGCACACTAAGTACTTTAATCAAGGATAGAGAGGCTTCAACGCCCAACACAATACGTGCAGCGGCAACGTCCTTCGGTCAGTTCAAAAATTGCTTCAACATACATATAGTGTTGTAGATTTTGAAAATATTGGCAAAATTTCTGAAGTCCAAGAAACCGCTTAATATAGTTCCGTTTTTTTAATACTATTAAATATGTTTACTACTTGCTAAAATTTTATATAATTTTTGGTCAGTATAAACGAATGGTATTTACTAGATCACGGAACTAATATTGAATCCTCTATTACAAAATGGTAGCCAATTCCATAGAAAGGGTTTAATTTTAATTCTATGTTTAATATATATAGGTTGTTTGATTTTATGGTTCATCCGATATATTTATAAAAAAAAACCTTGAGAGGCAGACAAGCACTTTTTTTTTATGTAAGCTATACGACTGAGGGAATATAATATGTAGGACTAATCGTCAAAATACGCCGGGTAACTAACTAAAATTGGCTAATAACCTTTTTAATTAGTGAAAATTAGTATAAGGTTTTAATTGTGAAGAAAGAGCAAAAGGATCCAGACACTGGCTGGCCGTCAACGAAAACCACTAAATCAGTCAATTTTGGAAGAAGCAAAATTAAAGTATCCGCTAAAGTTTCCACCCGTGCAAAAGAACCAACGCAGGCGGCTCAAAAACGGGCATGAAAAGGTAACCATCCGCGTTTTAAGATCACCAGCGTTACGCTGGCTTTCGAATAATGTATTTATTCGAACGGCCGATTATATTTAAACTACTGGACGGGAGCGATAAAAATGTGATGCTAAAGAACTGCGTGAAACTAAAGGGTACAAACTTTACTATAAGCGAGGACTTTTCGCGCCCCGTACAGGAAATGCGAAAACAACTGTGGAACAGTACCAAAGCAAACCGAGATAGAAAAGATAAGGTATTTCTTACTTACTGTAAGGTTAAAATAAACGGACAAGTGTATGTGTGGGACGAGAAAAAAATGATAGTTCCCATGGTTGGAAAAAACGCGGTAACGGACCAATACCAGATGACTATGCAACGAGACTAGCAGACGACCGCGAAACAGCGGCTAAAATAACAGTCATTAATTTGAATGCAAGAAGCCATGGAAATAAAGTAGAGGCATTAGAATTTACACTCTTAGAATTTTAACCTCACATAGCTACAATAACCCAGACATGGTTATATCCTCAAATACTCGATAGCGAAATTGTCCCGCCAAATTGCGTTATGTTAAGGAAAGACCGAAAATCTAGAGGGGGGGGGGGGGTGTAGCAATCCTTTTAAAGCAAGTCATCCCTTACCTAATGTTACCTTAAGTAAACAAAGTTGAGTCTCTTTGGTGTAAAGTGTACCTGGAAAATTATTCTTTGTTGGTGTGGTTTACCGGCCTCCAAACTCGGATCTAAAATATCTGTATACACTGTAAACGAAAAGTAGCCCGGATGGGGGTTTTAAAGAATAAGATACCGATTAAACTCCCAAGCCTAAAGCATTCACTCCCGCACATGGGAGTATAAAAACTAGAAACCACCACTTTACTCTGGTCGCTAAGAGACGAGGTATAAAAGCGACAACACCTGATTTTACTCCCATTTTAAACTGGAGTTCTTGTTCCCTCCTTCCCTCCGCAAGACGAAATGGGAGTTGAAAATACTCCCATCCGTCCACCCGTCTGCGGGAGATCGGCCGCCATTGACGCAGCCGGCGTTTCCCCCGTCCCCCTCACTCCCGGCTCTGGCACCAACGGGTTTCCCGTCGTGGAAGAGGTCGTTATAATGTGTCCAAGACGTTTTGGGGCTGGTTTTTGTACAAAATCCCGACGCTCTCGAACAACAAATATTACACCAGTGAAAAACCAATCACAAAGTACGAACTTTTCGCTCAATCTGGCGAATACTCAAAAGTTGAGGTACTATGGGGAAGCAGAAGACAATCCAGCTCTTTTCGGGCAGACTCAAGTATAGTGCAACCATTGTGTGTTGTTTAAAGGGCCTTTCACACGATGCATTTTTCTGGCGCATCTTGACTCGCGAAACGAGTTTCGTGAAATGAATTCGCCGTCTGAACAGGACCGAAAAATGTGCGTCTGCATCTCCCTGGGTTTTCACGAAAAACACAGCCGACGGCCTCTCGAGAAAGCTTTCACGCGATCTCAAAAGGATAAGCGAGCCGTTCGCGGGGCCCAGTGACGGATTAAGAGGGGGGGAGGGGGGGGGGGGGGGTTTGTCTAGATGTTCTGACTACCTCTTGATTTGTGCATGTGTAAAAATTTAGGGCGGGAAAACAAAGGGAAAGGGTGGGGGGGGAGGGGGGTTTCAAAAGACATCTGATACGCTAACCTCCCCTCTCTGGAAATACCGGCGTCGGTACCTGGCGGGGCCAGATTTCTTCCCGATTCCAAGCCACAGCAGAAAAAAAAAAGTAAAGAAACACGGCGCTATCCACGGATGGATACGTAGGTTGCGTTTTCTTGGTCCATACGAGTTCGGGTGCGCACAGGTCGGTGGCGCGTGGCAGCTTTCTCAATTTTTGTGCACTCGTAGCGACGAGCGCGAACATTGCACGTCGCCGCCAAGAATGCTCTATTCGCGTCGTCAACGAGCCCGGAGAGCGCTGCCCGACGGCGGTGACCACAGTGAAATCATAACCAGTAGTCCCACTCAAGGCCACTTCCGGTAATCGCGCATACACAGCGCTCCTCAAGCCGGATGGCGACAACTGAAGGTGTAAAACAAAAACAAACAAAAAAACAGGGTCAAACAGAATCGCAATTAACTAAAGTGAGTGCTTTAATGTTAATATTTTTAGAAAACATAATAAGCTAGGTGATAATGATAAACCAATATGGAAAGAAAAAATCGAGCAGTTACCGTTAGCTTTAAAAAGTTCATTGCCCTACCGAAGCCTGCCGAAGCCATGTTTTTAAACGTCGCCGGTCGCGTTGTCGGTGTTGCTGTTCTGCGAATTTCTCCTTTCTAGTGCATTTCCCTTTCGGTTGGATCCTCGCTTGGCGTTTTAATGTCACGTGAGTTACCGAATCACGCTATGAATGTGTTCTAAATGGGCCTGCTCAAGCAAGAAGCCAAAAAGCCGGGGACTCACTTCGCCGTTCGAGATGCCGGGATTCCGCTTCAAGTTCGTTGCTGGTGAGTGCAAACATTTTAAAGTGCTGGTGCTGTCCTTCGCGTCAGGCCATGGCACGATCGTCTTTTCTCCAGTGTATGTGACTCGGTTAATTTCTTAGTCGTATGTCCGTCGGACGTGACTTGTAAAACTATGTTGAACGTAATGAATTGCTTGCTCACGCGCAACCTCCACGTATCGAAACTTTCACACCACTTTACTGGAAAAATATAAATATCGTGGCAAATGACGCGGATCAGGACCGAACCTTGGATTTGCTACTCTATAAAATCATAAAAGAGAAGTTGGCATCATAGCATAAGATATAAAAGTCAAAACAAAAAAACACGCAACATTATAAAAAGTGAATTTACCAGTTGTTATATATTTGCAAACAGGCTAAGCAAGTTGACTGGGTACATTGAACATAATTCTGAATTAACTAGTCAGGTGGATGTCCCTTGAAGGGAATTAACGGGAAGGCACCTCTAAAATGTGTAGCTCAAACATGCAAATTTCCTAGACTCGCACCTGTCTTCTCTCTCTCCTCAGGATACCCTGTGGGTATGGCAGCATCTGGCACCTGTGGTTCAACATGCGTCAAGACCCCCCTCCCCCTGTCAAGCTCCAGACATCATTTATCTCCGCTCGGTACGTCATGCAGTAAGACCCACAGTACTTATCTAATTTAGAAGTATAAGCAGGGACGGATCCAAGGGGGGCGACGGGGGCGGCCGCCCCCCCAAACAAAGTCGACACCTCCCCCCTCCCCCTTCTCGGAGGGCAATTTGACATGGTTGGACCCCCCGGTGCACACGAAAGAAGGGGAGAATAGTATCCTTACAAATTTTCTGCCCCCCCCCTCCCCCCCAAACGGAGTTCTGGATCTGCTCCTGAGTATAAGGTGTGTCACACTTCGTCCATTCACTGTGTGCTGTTACTTTCTTGTTCCAGTACGATGGTTCCTCGGAGAATCAAAGAGAATACCACGAGGGCGACAAACGTGTGGAGGCAAGCTGCAAGGGCCGGACACCAGAGACAAGGACCATCAGTAACCAGGGGGATGAAGTGAGAAAACTCAAGAGGCAGCTCATCATCTGGGCCATAAGAAGAAAGTCGGAGGCCAAACGCTGGGAAATTTGTCGACCCTTGTCCTTGGGTGGCATGAACATTTTCTGTTCATATTCGTACTTGAGGTGAACTGTTACTGGAACTAGGTTGACTCATCCTTCTGCAGCTTACAGGGCGTTATCAAAGCTACGGCACCAAGGAGACAACCGGAACATTTCGCTGAGGTACGGGACAACATATTGTGGGAGTATACTCCTCCTATGGAAAGCTCTCACAAAACTTGCTTCGTTGTTCTGATTAGCTCCAAAGGGCGGCAGTGTTTTTTCTTTGCAAAATTAGGCTGCAGCAGATTATAGCTGTAATGTGGCCACCGAAATTGACATTGCGGCATAACATTCCTCATGAGGGTTCTGGCATCTATTCTATGATCTCTTATGCAATTATGAATGTCGCAGCCACAAGTGATCACTTGACAATAATCTGCAACTCGTCATATTACAAACTGCGTAAATGGTTGGGTAAGTGCAGTAATGGCAGTTCTGCATATCTGGGAAAAAACAGTGGCTGGGAGGGCTCTAGCTCTTCCTCATCACGATCTGTCTTAGGGAGGGCTGTCTTGAAAACCCCTTTCAAGGCATTAGTTTGAAAGGGGAGTTTCTGGGATACCGCTGACGCATAGTAGTTTCCAGCATCTACGAGACACTTGAGAAGGAAAACCTTATGGAGTTGCAAGTTGCGAACCAGGTTGCAAACTGTGAGGACGACTTA